GGTGAGTGGATTGCCTGAGCCCGTGGGTTCGAGACCCGCCTGGGCAGCGAGACCACATCTCTACAATAAATTTAAAAAAAATCAGCCGGGCATGGTAGCGCACGCCTGTAATTCCGGCTACTCGGAAGGCTGAGGCGGAAGGATCACCAGAGCCCAACAGGTCGAGGCTCCCGGCCACCGCACTCCAGTCTGGGCGACCGAGTGAGACTCCAACTCAAAAAAAAAAAAAAGACCAGGAACAGGCACTGCAAACAACAGCCAAAGATGAAAACCAAATGTCAGATTTCTTGTGTCCTGGGCAGTGTTGATACATCGGTCTTGCAGGTTATAAGGATATCTGTGTGTGGAAGTGATCTTCTAGTCAGTAACAGCACCTTTAATTTATCAAGTAACTGAATAGGTATACAGTAGTTAGTACAAAGTAAAACTGTATCTTATACTCATCCCTTTTAATCTCTCTAGCAACCCTGTGAGTTAAGTATTATCTCCTTTTCAAGATGCTAAAATTGAGGTTTGAGGAATTATTTGTCCAAGGTCACGTCCAGGAAGACAAGATCTGCGATTTGAACTCAGGTCTACCTGACACCAAAAAGATACTGTGTCAACTACCCTTTACCACCAAAAAATAAACAATGATACACTTCTCAGAAAGGTGAAAATAAATAGGACAGAGGACATCATGTGCTGAAATTCTTAGATAAAAAGAGTTCAGACAAAAATCTAGGGCATCGGCTGGGCTCAGTGGCTCAGCCTGTAATCCCGGTGCTTTGGGAGGCCGAGGTGAGTGGATTGCCTGAGCCCGTGGGTTCGAGACCTGCCCGGGCAACTTGAAGAGACCTCATCTCTACAATAAATAAAAAATTAGCCGGGAATGGTAGCACGTGCCTGTAATTCCAGCTACTTGGAAGGCTGAGGTGGAAGGATCACTGGAGCCCAGCTGGTTGAGGCTGCGGTGGCCGGGAGCATGCCAGTGCACTCCAGCCTGAGCGACAGAGTTAGACTCTGACTCAAAAAAAAAAAAAAATTGTATCCCAGATCTAGAGAGACAGGTACCTCTGTGTCTAATTCCACACTAACAGAGAGAGTGTAAATCTGTGTGTGTAAATCTGGGGAAGAGAGTGCCACAGCAATTTGAAATCACAAACAGCAAAAAGGCTGTATGAGTGTTATCAAGGAAGGTTTTAAAATGGACATACACAAAGTTATATATGCACATGCATAATACACAACACACACACCCCATTATAAAAGCAAAATAACAAGGTTTGAGGGGCAGAAGGCAGGGGTGTATTTAGAGAGGCCAAGCTGAATAAGCTCAGAGGTAAATGAAAGTCTGAAGCAAGGTTATAAAGATGTCTGGTGAAAGATATGAAATAAATCCTTAAAGAAAAAATCAGGAAGAAAACAAGAATCCACAATGATTAAAATGAAGAATGCGTACCTCATTTTAAGTAAAATCTAAACTATGAAAACAGATTCACATAATAGATACATCAGTTATAACTCATGTCCCAAAAGATCACCTGCAGTATAAAATACTGTAAGATAATAAATCATTATAATAACACAAAAAATACTAATTCAGTGTAACAACTATTCACATAGCATTTACATTGTATTAGGTAATAAAAGTAACCTAGAAATTATTTATTTATTTATTTACTGAATTGGGGTCTCACTCTGTCTCTTATTTTAAATAGCAAGTCCCCTTAGAACTGACATTAATCCAGTTGAAAAATTTAATTCATATACAACTTCTCAGTGTCAAAATTTTAAAATGCCATGCTAAACTTACTTGAAATTTCCAAAGTAACATTGTAGATTTTAGCTTAGGTTTATACTCATAAGGAACAGAACAGAGGAAATGTAAATGCAAAGAACGGTATAAAAAAGGAAAAGGAAGACATGGAAACAGATGAATTCAAGGTTGAATGATGAATTCAAGGTAGAATGTAAAATACAAGGTCATTAAAAGAAGCAAAAACAATGCTGGACAAAAAACAACAACCAGGTGTTGGTGGCCCTACCCCCGTGTCACATAGGTCATCTCTATATAGTTCACTCCATCTTGCAGTCATAGTATATTCGTTCTCATTTAAGTCTTTTTTTTTTTTTTTTGAGTCAGAGTTTCTGTTGCCCAGGCTGGAGTGTAATGTCATGCTCATGGCACCACAGCCTCAACCCTTCCTGGGCTCAGGCGATCCTTCTGCCTCAGCCTTCCAAGTAACTGGAACCACAGGCGTGTGCCACCATGCCCGGCTAACTTTTTTAACTTATTGTAGAGATATTTATGTATTGTCTCACCAAGTTGCCCAGACTGGTCTTGAACCCCTATGCAATCCTCCTACCTCTGCCTCCCAAAGTGTGGGATTACAAATGTGAGCCACCGCACCCAGCTCGTCATCATTTAAGTCTTGAAGTTGGTATACTGAAACAAAAATTTAACACCAACTGAAAGCAAATATTCTAGCAGGGAAGGACTTAACTCCCAACTAAGAAAGTTGAGCATTTACAGGAGAAGCAGAAGAATGATGCAGAAAAGCCCTCTGTGAAATAGTACAACCACGATGCAGCTGACTGGAAAGTTCCTGCTGTTGTGGCATTTCTGTGGAGACTGGAATTCTCCTAACAGACCAGCAGAGACCACAACTGGTCAGATTCCTGCAGCAGACCCATTCACGGCCAAAGAAGCAGAGCAATGATTTGGCAGAATGATACGATGGTTCTTCAACTTTAGCTCTCTTGTCCCAAAAGATCTGGAATTGTGAAGTCTGGCCAGAGAAAAAAGGAATGCTGAAGAGAGAGAGCAGTTCATTCCTGACTTCCAACACTTGTACCCTGGGTTTGTGTTACTTTCCAAATGCTGAAGCTCAATCCTGCATGGTGATTGACAAGACAGTCCAGATCTCTGAAATGACTCCATATGAAAAACTTTTCCACCATACCGGGGATACAGAGAGTTTGCAGAACATGCCTCCATTATGTATACATTAGAAATGGCTAGCTGGGCTCGGTGGCTCAGCCTGTAATCCTGCGCTTTGGGAGGCTGAGGTGAGTGAATTGCCTGAGACCGTGG